GAAGGATGGGCAATCTCCTTTCATGTGATTTACAGCCTCTGAAAACCCACTGGAGCATCAGCTGTGGGTTGGTTCTGACTTGATGTCACACAACAATCTATCTACCTTTTATTATACTCTGAAACATTCACATGACAATCACAGGCTAGACCTGGAACAAAAGGATTAAAAGTCTTGTCCCCATTACCCTAAAATGCCAAACTTATTTTTGCTAACTGTTGCCCAACAAAATCCTATCAAGCCCAGCTCTAACCCTTGCTCATCTGTGATTCCTTTCCTTGTTCATAGATGGTATCGCCTTGGCACTTAAAACATCCATTGAAGGTTGACTTTGTTTCTGCAGCTTTCAGTGAGACTTCCTATTCGTGTAACTAATTCCTACTCATCAACTCTAGTCTGCTAGATGACAGAAACACTGTCCCACTCCACACATTTGCAGTGATTTGGGAGGAGGGTGTTTTTCATTTCCCATAGCTTTTTGGATATTTGTTTTTTACTTTCTTGTGGGTACACACCACTTGTCTTGTCAGTTTGCCAGACAGTGGTGACGTGTGTTACTATGATGCTGGAAGCTAAGCCACTGGTAGGGTTACCCATGGTGGGCAGGTTTCAGCCTTGCTTCCAGACAGACTAAGACAAAGCAGCAGGACTGGCCATTCACTTCTGAAATAGCCTAAAACCCTATGAATAAAAAGCATTATATATTATGCTGGAAGATGAACAGGTTGGAAGACAAAAAACTAGACCATACGAAGTATGAATCTAGGAAAATTGGAAGCTGTCAAAAACAATGTGTAAAGATTGACATCCTAAGCATTAGTGAAATGAGATGGACTGGTATTGGCCATTTTGGATTAAAAAATGTTATAAGGAGAGCACTTAATTGCTTAATGGTGAGGAACCAGAATCTCACTGTCGATGCAAAGGTTGTTGTTGTTGTTATGTGCCGTCGAGTCTTTTCCGACTCATAGCGACCCTATGCACAACAGCCCTAAACCCTGCTCTATCCTGCGCCAACCGCACTGCCTCTGACACACCCATCCTGATTACCCCAGTCACTGAATCGATCCATCTCATAGAGGGTCTTCCCCTCCTGCAAAGTCATGTGGTTCAAATCCTCTAGTCACTTAATGGGGGAAGGATAGGCAGTCAACTCCCATGCAGTTTACTGCCTCTGAAAACCCACCTGAGGGTCAACTATGAGTTAGTTCCAACCCAATGGTACCTACAACAATAATTCTGCAAGAAGCTCTGGTGGCTTAATGTGTACCATGCTGTGATACTAAACAAAAGGCCAACAGTTCAAATCCACTAGTTGCTCTATAGAGATTGGTAGTCTCAAGATTTACAGCTTCATAAATGGTAAAGAGTTGATAAAGTCAGGTTTAATGTCTGTGTATTGAGTTTGAGTTTTTAATGGGTTTTAGGGTTTGGTTTATCACAAGTTCAACTGGAAATGACAAGTTGAAGAGTAATGATGTGGCATTAATCATCAAAGAGCATATCAAGATCTAAAATACAATGCTGTGAGTGGTAGGATACTGTTGTAGGGGTAAAAATCAGTCATTACTTCAGTAATGAAAAGGCTACTTTATTCTGGCTTGTTTTATAAAAGGAAAATGATAGGCAAAGTGTAGGGGAGAGTAAGAGCTGACAGGGCAGCTAATGTGGAGATTCCTCGGCTACATTTTACAGATTTATACAAGTTACTACAGTTCCATTTATGTCAAGGTAAAAAGGGTGCTCATACATTTTGCTTCCTGGGTTCTTAGATAAGAAAGGCCTTTAAGGGTAACAAGTTTGTGTCTACATCTTATCAGAGAACAGGATATTCACAGGCACAGGAAAGAGGAAATGAAGGCATGAGATTCGAATCACCTGCTCTGAAGGAGAAAGATGGGCAATCTCCTCCCATGATTAGCCGCCTCTGAAAACCCGCTGGAGGGTCAGTTAAGAGTCAGCTCTGACTGGACAATAATACATAACAGGTGGATTGTGTAGTCCAAGTTAATGGAAATAAAGCAGATAATAAACCTATGTTCTTAGGAGGTGCAGCTCCTAAGATGCTGATACTTTATGTACATAATAAAGGAGCTTCACTCGCAAAGTGGGTGAAATTCAGAAGCCACAATGAGGGTTTTGCAAATTGACTTTTTTAATTGACTGTAAAACTTCAAAATCAGCTCAATACTCAGTAGCTGGCCGCGGCCGCCATTTTACCACAATAAAGAAGCTTTCAGCTGCAGCGAAAAAAAAAAAAAATACTCAGTAGCTATTTCTGCCAAGGTCAGACATAGCCGAATGTTTTATTCTAAAACATTACTATTCATACACATATAAGGAAGTTCTGTTAATACATATTTAAATATGTTGTTATGTGCCCTTACATACAAATCATAGTGAGCTTGTGAACAATTGATCTAAACCCAGTCCTGTCCCACAACATTCTTACCATCATCTACTCACTCGAGCCCATTGCTCAAGTCACTTTATGTGGTGTTAGTCCATCTCATTGAGAGGCTTCCACTCCTTCACTGGCCTTTCCAAGCATGATTTTCCTCTCTAAAGATAGTATCCCCCAACAACATGCCCAAAGTATGTGACCTAAAGCTTCACCATGCTTGCCTCTAAGGAGCACTCTGGCTGCACTTTCTCCAAGTGAGAGTTTGTTATTTCAGCAATCCATAGGATATTCAGTACTCCAACATCACAGCTCAAAGTCATCAATTATTCTGTCTTTATTCACTATCCAGGTCTCAGATACACTGTAGGTGATTGGAAAGATTATGGTTTCAATCAGGTGCACCTTCGTCTTTAAACTGACATCACTGTTCTTCAGGACTTTGTAGAGGTCTCTGACAGCTACCTTTCCCAAAGCTGTACATCTCCTGATGTCCTGACTACTGGTACCAAGGGTATTGACCAAAAGGGTAATCAGAAGAGATTGAAACTTGCATTGGAATGATAAGCCAAAATAAGGGGAAGGAATGCTGACATAAGATTAGCTGAATAGTTAAAAGCAGCTTGAAAAGACAAAGCAAAATATAAAGATGTGCAAGGAGCCGGAGTTAGAAAACCAAAAGTTAAAAACATGCTCAGCATTTCTCAAGCTGAAAGAAAAAATCAAGCCTCAAGTTGTGATACTAAAGGATTCTATAGGCAAAATCTTGAAAGCAGGAAGCATAAAAAAAAAAAGATGGAACACACAGTCATTGCAGCAAAAAGAACTGGCTGAAACAGAACCATTGTAGGAAATAGCATATGATCAAGAACCCAACAGTACTGAAAAGGTCCAAGTTGCACTGAAGGTATTGGGGGGGGGGGATCAAAACCCTAACAAAAATCAACTGAGATGTTGGAGGAGATTGCTGAAGATCCCATGGACTGCCAAAAGAACAGATGTCTTGAAGAAGGTGCAGCCACAGTGGCTTCTTGAAGCAAAGAGGGTGAAGCTTCATCTCATACTTTGGGCATGATGCTAGGAGAGGTTCTCTGAAATATCATCATGCTTGGGAAGGTGGAGGGAGGGGAAAGAGAGGAAGACCCTCAACCAGATGGGTTGACATGGTGGCTATGGCAATGAATGGGCTTGAGAGTGTCAGATTATAAGGATGACACAGGATAGGACAGTCAGTATTCAGTGTTCACAGGTCGCTGTAGGTTGTACTCAGCTCGATGGCATCTAACAACAATCCATCTCTGTAAGGCCACACTGCTTGGAATAAAAAACCTCCAGACTTCTTAAGAGAAATAAATGTTAACCCGAGCAATTCCCATTCTTCTTCAAGAGGCACACCCTTCTCAGTGGAACCTTTATTAGCTCTTCTCTTCAGACATACTTCAAATTAACACATTTGAAATCTTTTCTTTTTTCTAAAACGAATCTATTCTTGCTCCTTGACTAATCTCATTCTCCCAGTCTCCTTCCTAAGAGGGCTTCTGGGACAGTGAGATGCAGTAGCTAAAGCCCTGAATGCTGCAGCCTCGATTCATGTGCACACACGTGAATGTCTAGGCCAAGTTCTCCAGCGCTTCTGTGCCAGGGAAGACATTTACAGCACAGCGGCGCTGAAGCACCTCGGAGTCGCGCTTGCAGCACCTGGTCTTTCTGATAGACCTGCTGCATCCTTGTTGCTAGAACCCGAGCCGCGGGTAGGGGAGGCATGGGAGGAGCTGGGAGGGAGACCAGAGCTCCGCAAAAAGAAAAAGAGGGTAAGGAATTGCGCTCACAATATGCAAATGAACCTGGTTCGAATCCACCAGCTGCTTTACGAGAGAAAGATGGGCAAGCTCCTCCCGTGAGATTTACTGCCTTCTGAAAAGCCGCTGGAGAGTCAGCCACTCGATGGTTGTGGTGGTTGTTTGGAGACATGGAGTCGAGTACGATTCATAGCTACCCTATGAACAAAAGATCTGAACAGTCCATTGCAGAGTTAAGGGTCTTCTCTCCTTCCCCGACTGATCTCCACCCTTCCCAGCATCATGTCCTTCTCCAAGGAATAGCCCCTCCTAGCAACATGCCCGAAGTACGTGAAGCGAAGCCTCATCATTCTTGCCTCCAAAGAGCATTCTGGCTGCACCTTCTTCAAGACGTATCTGTTCATTCTCCTGACTGTCCATGGGATGTTCAGTGCTCTTCTCCAACACCACAGATCAAAGGCGTCAATTCTTTTTCTGCCATCCTTTTACACTGTCCAGCTCTCAGATACATACATAGCAAGTGATCGGAAAAACTATGGCCTGAATCAGACGCACGTTAGTCCTCAAACTGATATCATGATACTACGGTGTTTAACAACTACTCCACGGAGCCCTGCGGCGCGCTACAAATTGTGTCATTCCTCCGCGCCCGCGGGACGGCCGCTGATTGGCCCGCAGGCTCGGGGGCGGGGCCAAGCGACTGAGGCGAGCCGCGGCGCGCGGTCAGCGGATTCCACTCCGCAGCCTCACGGTGGTCACGATTCCCTCTCGGCTTCGGACACCTGAGGTCAGCGGGCCGCATGGCTGGGACCCACGCGCCAGACAGCAGCAGGAGGAGGAGCGGGCCGCCAATGCCTCGCCCTGGGCCCCCTCTCGGCGCAGGGTGTCCCCCGACTAAGAAGGCCCGGATCTTCCCTGACGCTCCAGACCCGGAGGACCCCTTCGGCGCGCACGGGGACTTCACCGCCGACGACCTGGAGGAGCTCGACATCCTGGCGTCGCAGGCCCTGAGCCATTGTCCGGCGCCGAACGCGCCCAGTGAGTGCACCTCGGGGCCTTTTCCCCCAAAGGGTGGTGGCGACCCCTGACGGGGAGCTGCTGCCCGGGACTCTGGTCCCATGTTCCCCCTCCACCCTCCAGAATTAAGGACATCCCGATGTAAACAGAGATTGTGTTCCAAAAGGTCCTTTGCTTTGAAGGGAGGGACTGTATCAGGAATGTCCTGCAGCAGATTTGCAAGAACAGAAGGCTAGGCTCGCGTTTTCCCGCGTTGTCAAGTTTGGGCCATTCAGTTCTTGGTTCTGAACCGTGATCTTTGGAACCACCACCACCACCCCTTCGGCACCATCACTGTCCACTCCGCATTCTTGTGGGCAGGTTTTAGATCCCTTGCAACAGTGGTAGAGGGGAGGGTTAAAAGGGACTCCTAATTTATACAACCACTAAAATGATTTACCTCGTACCAGGATTTTTTTGGGTAGGTGCCCAAGTGGACCGGCAGGGAGTGAGTTTTGTTTAGATTCTAAAAAGAAAAGGATTTTTGAGGACACCTTGTATTTCTCCTTAGATATGTCACAGATCTCTTAAACCCAGAGACCCACTTGCCTGTAGCCAGGTCCTGTGATACCCAACAAAGGAAGCATTGAAGAAACATTCAAAAGAAGAATGTTCCACAAGACAGTAACTGTTGCCACTCTATCTGGTACAAGGTGGCTCCTCCCCTGGTACAAGGTGGCTCCTCCCCTTTCCTCAACCTTACATCTAATTATTTTTTCTATCTTGTCACTTTTCACCTTTTAAATCCATCTTTGGAATCCAGCCTCTTCCCATCATCTCTCTGATCTATTCCCATCTTATCTCCTCTACCCTAGATGGTAGTCTAAATTGTCTCCCTACGAGCTCACGCCACAGCCAGCGTGATCTTTTTCAGAATTCCAGGCTGGCTGCATCTCAGAGTTGCGTGTGCACACAGGCTATCTCTGCTGAAAGTCCTTGAATGACTTGCCACTGTTTTCTAGAATGAAAGACCAAACTCTTTAACCAAACCTACAGGATCCAGTGAGGTTCAGCCCTTGCACACTTTTTGGGTTCTAGCCTTGCTGATCCTCCTGGATTGTTTGGAACCTCTCTGCTTCCTTCATTGCCAACGTGTTGCTTTCTTATGTTTTGAGTGTTCTTTCCACCCAAACCCTTTCCTCACCCATTTGGGGTTATGGATTGAATTGTGTCATTCAAAAGTTACCCCCATCCCTGTAAATAGGGCCTGTTTGGAAGTAGAGTTTTCTTTTGTAATGATGCCATGCCAGGGTAGAGTGAATGAATCCTAAATCTAATCCTACTGAGTAGTGTTTTATAAAAAGAACCTATTAGGTGAGCTGATGGCCTAGTGGCAAGAAGCTGCACTGCAATCCCAGAAGTGTGTGGTTTGAATCCACCAGGTCCTCTGCTAGAGAAGGAGGGACAATCTCTTCCTGTACCAGTCAGATCTGATTTGACAGTACATACACACACACACACACACACACACACACACAATTTTTTTTTAAAGAGCATATTAGATACAGTTGCTCGCAAGAAGAGACCACTCAAGGAAACAGGAAATTACCCTCCCCTAAAGGTATGCCCTGATTTGGACTTCTAACCCTCACATCATTGATTTTATTATAGTTGTTGTTGTGTACCATCTAGTCGGAATTGACTCAGCTGACCCTCCAGCAGATTTCAGAGACAGTGAATCACACATGAGATTTCCCATCTTTTTACTGCAGAGAGCAGCTGATGGATTTGAACCACATGCCTTTGGATTGGGAGTGCAGCTTCTTACCACTAGGCCACCAGGGCTCCCTTTATTAGAGTAGCTTAGGAAACAGAGGTTGAATGAAGTCTTGCTTGTTCTTTAGCTCTCAGATCAGCCATCTATTCCTTAGAGAAGGTTCCAGTCATTCTAGTTAGGTTAGATCTCTTTATTATAGGCTTTCTCTTCTGCAGCTCTTACCATAGCTATACTTTTACAATTATTTGTGTGATTATCTGTTGAATAGCTTGTAGGAACTTAACATTGTGCCTGGCATTTTGAAGATGCTCAGTAAATATTGTTGAGTAATAAACCACAAAGTCCTGGTCAGTGAGGCGTCCACAACACCTTTTAGCTCTTATATGAGACTCTTGGGATTGGGTGGAGGGCAGAGGATGTGGGCAGGAATAGTTATTTTTATAAATACCATGTATGATGTTGAAAACAGTTATGTATTACTTTAATCCTTCTCTAATTTGAGTGTTTTCTTCTCAGCATTGCCTGGCAAAAGTGAGTAAATGTTGGGTCCTGATAAGCACAGGGGAACTGTTTTTTACAGGTGTCCCTAACTTCTGCAGAATAGATGGGCTGTCAAAGAACAAAACTCCTGCAGCAAAAAGCAGAGGAAGTATGTCAGTTAACGATAATTTTGAATCAGAGATACTTCAGGCACAGTACAATGAGCTTAAAGAAAAGGTAAGTGACTTTATTGTGGTTCATTCATCCACTCATTCATGCATTATAAAGCATCAGACAATAAAATATACTAGAGTTGTAAAACAAGTGCCCAGAGATGAAATGAAGGAAGGCTTGAAAAAGAAAGGCAAACCATTTTCACTGAAATAATCTAAATTCCTTGATTCCTAACAGGCAAGGTAAGAAAGGAAACACCACTGTTCATACACCACTTCCAAAAAGAGAAGCAGAGAGCTTTTTCTTTTATAGCCATGAGACAGAGTTCTAGCATACACGAGGCAGGGCCAGTTCCCTGGGGAAGGGCATCATGCTTTGGAAAGTAGCATGGCAGCACAAATGAAGACCTTCTTGTTGACGGATTAACACACTCACTGCAATAACCAAGCAAGCCCAGTAGTAACTGTGAGGATGGTGAGGACTCAGAAGTGTTTCACTCATTGTATGTAGGGCTGCTAGGAGTCAGAACCAGCTCCACAGCATATAGTACACCCATGTTTGTTGCTGCTTTGTTCACAGTAGCAAAGAGATGGAAGCAACCCAAGTGCCCATCAACAAATGAATGTCTTGAGAAGCTGTGGTATATTCACACAGTGAAATACTACACAGCACAGAAAAACAAGGAACTTATAAAATATTATACAAAATGGGTGATCCTGGAGAACATCATGCTGAGTGAAATATATCAGTCACAAAAGGACAAATACTGCATAATGCCACTGTTAACATGACTGACATGGGGGTTTGGGGGAAACTAAGAAAAGAGGGGATAAATAATGAACACTGCATAGGAACAGAGGAGGAAAAAAACCCTCTTTAATAGGAATATATGATTAGGCATTATTTGCATAGCAAAGTGGACTGAGGTGGGAGGAAGGTAATTGTGCAACAATGAATAAATTTTTTTTTTTATTTTGTTATTATTTTGTGTGTGTGTACCGTCAAATTGGATCTGACTGGTACAGGAGGAGATTGCCCCTCCTTCTCCAGCAGAGCATCTGGTGGATTCAAACCACATACCTCTGGGATTGCAGTTCAGCCACTGAATTTTTTAAAGAGAAAAGCAAACTGGCAGTGGGGAATAGGGAGGGAAATGTGCAACAATCAATGAACAGAAATTCAAGTTTTCTGTAACTTTCATTTAAATCACAGTAAAAGATTATTTTTTAAAAAAATAACCCCAGCTCCTGTACCAGTCAGATCTGATTTGATGATATACACATAATAAAATAAAATAACCCCAGCATATAGCAATAATCCTTGCAAGCACAGATCATAAAGGCTGCTATTTTCATTTGCAACTTTGCAAGAAAGTAGTCATCTTTTATATAATCATTTCTCTACAGATCTCTAGAGAAAATAGAAACATAATGTGGTGTTTATGTCTGTGAAGTGTGTGTCCCAGATTATTTATCAGAGCCTCAGGAATATGTGTATTAGTGACAAGTGTGTCCCTTGTCTGCCCAGCTAAACATCAGCAGTCCCATGAACAGACCTAACAGATCATGGTCAAGTCTCATTAGCACAGATTTTGACCACTCTTTGGTCTATAAAACAGAAATGCAGGGGAGCCCTGGTGGCCTAGTGGCAAGGAGCTGCAACTACAATCCCAGAGGCGCATGGTTCGAATCCACCAGATGCTCTGCCGGGGAAGGAGGGACAATCTCCTCCTGTACCAGTCAGATGTGATTTGACGGTACACACACACAAAAATTAAAAAAAAAAAAAAAAACAGAAATGCAAACGTACTGCCATCAAGTTGACTCCAGCTCATAATGCCATCCATTGGGTTTCTGAGGCTATAAGTCTTAACCAGAAGAGACAGTCACTTTTCTCCCACAGAGTGGTTGGTGAATTAAAGCTGCCCACATTTTGGGTAGTAGCCCAAGACTTAACCTACTACACCACCGGGGCTCCTCACTGATCTAAGGACACGTATTCTGTGCTCTCTAGTCCCCAGTTACTGGCAAAGCCCTTCCAACTGTGGCAATACTGTGTTGTCAGAGACCACCTGTATATAGCACCGTGGGGTATCTCTCAGTAATAGATAGCAAAGCTTTTCTTCTGAAGCTCCTTTGCATGAACTCTGCCTTCCAGCTGTTCCATTAGCCCTTCAGTATGGTACCATTTGCATCACGTAAAGACTCATTGCATGTTAAAGCTACATATGTAATTTTCTTTTACAAACTTTTTCACAAGATTGATTTGGGATTTACAGATGAAGGCAATGGAAGAGGAGATCCTCATTAAAAAGGGAGAAATTAAAATTTTGCGGGACTCCTTGCATCAAACAGAATCCACTCTAGAGGAACAGAGAAGAACGCATTTCCTTCTTGAGCAAGAGAAAGCTCAAGCACTGAGTGACAAAGAAAAGGAATTCTCCAAAAAGGTGATCCAGGATATCTGGTTTGCATGTTATAGATTCCAGCTTTGTCGTTCACTGAATTTTTCTTTAGGAACAGTGGCCAACGTGCCTGTAAATCTTCCAAGGTGATTTCAGTAGTTGCTTAAGTTCTTTGTTGTTGTCAACTACTTGCTGTGTTTTGTTGGTTTTTGGGTTTTTTTGCAGCTCTGCACATGTTTTGGAAAAGAGCATAGATAAACCTCTGCTCTGCTTTGGGAATTGGTCTTGGCAGAAATAAATCACCAACTTGGGATTTTGAGAAGCAGGGCTCAGTTAGGGCTCTTTTGGTAGATCAGGAACTCAGTTAACTTAGCTTAGGCCTAAAGGGTATGCATGAGCCTCTGTAACCAAGTCTGGGAAAAGCAGAGGGTGAAGTGAGGCCTTGAGTGACTTAGACATTGCCAGGAATTGTCTTACTCTCTACACTGTAGATACATTTCATCTTTATGGTAGGAAATATAGTCTTTAGAAGCTCCTGAGCTCGCATTTTATAGCTCTAGAGCAGCGTTAGGACGTGGCTGCTTCATCTTAGGTTTGTAATTCAGAAAAGTCTCTGATTGGTCTCCCTTTTTTAGTTGCCTGTTCATGGACAATTACCAACCACTGTTACAGCTGCTGCTGTGAAGAGTATCAGCTCCCACTCAGATCACTAGGCAGAAGTAGGGAAATGAGTGTTTCTTAAGGGGAAATAGATGCTCCTTCCGGAAGAAGAATAGTAGATAATCCAGTCCATCCCACCATTTTCCTTTAGCATTCTGGTGCTGGGAGTCTCAAGGATACGGTCTTACTCTGCTATTACTTCATTCATCAAACTTCAAAAACCCCCTCACACTCATTGCTGCCAAGGTGGAACCCACTTATAACTGACCCTTCATGAGTTTCCCAGGCCACGAATCGCCCAGCTTTTTCCTGAGGAGCTGATAGTGGGTTTGAACTATAGAGAGGCTTAACCTTTGGATTAGCAGAGCATCTCCCACAAACTGCCACCAGAGCTCCCTTTCAACTAAACTTAGTGAGTTTTAAATGGGCATTCATACTAATAGCACTGATTGCTTTACAGTATAAATGGTGACTAGCCAAGGGATTTACAATCAGACAGACCAGACTTTGTGTCCAGGCTCTGTCACTCTCAAGAGGTGAGTTCTGGCTAGACACTTAAACTCCATGTTTATCTGTTCCAGAAAATAACCAGAAAGTTTGTTGGGAAAGCAAAAGCACCTACACTTAACCAGGTCTTGTATGGAGTGTGCTTGGTCAATGATGACATTTGCTGTTGGCTAGAATAGACCTTTGGGGCCAAAACATCATGTCTCCCCACACCACACAGAGTTTTGGTAACACTTCCTAATCCTCTGCCAGACTTTAAGACCTGAGTTTGTGTGCCATTGTGTTCACTAAAAGGCCAGTGTGTTACTTGCCAAGCTCTATGCTAGGCATTTCACATATTTTATCTCTTGTTTCATCAACCATCAGGAGGATATTGTGTGACAGATAAGTTAAGATTTAGAGAGGCTTAAATAAATGATGAATCTGGTATTTGAAAGCATTGAATCCTAGTCACTGGACCACCAAAGAATGGTCTTTGAACCCTAACAAACTATCCCCACAATAATTTGGATCAGAATACTCTCTCGAGTGTCATTGTCTTGCTGGAAGAAGATTTCACTTTGACGTTTTAGGACTTTTCTATCACAATAGATTTTTATACTTAGTTTCTATTGGCTTTTTTTCCCTTTATTAACTTGAGATTTGATATTTTTCTGAATATGATGTGACCACTACAAACATGCATGTTTCTTTTGCCTACCAGCTCCAGTCATTACAGTCTGAACTTCAGTTTAAAGATGCAGAGATGAATGAATTAAGAACAAAGCTTCAAAGCAGTGAACGCACAAATAAACTGATTGCCCCTGCCATTTCCCACTGCAGGTAATGATGGTGCTGGAAGAATTCAGTTTTATATCATTGAGTAAACAGACAAAATAGCACTGTCGATAGTCCAGAACAAAGACTAGGATTTCTGTCACTTAGTCAGAGGTCCTCCTTCCTGAAGGACTTGGCAGTTTTGAAGAGACATAAATGTCTTAGAGCATTGCATCATAAAGGCCTGACACTCTAGAATTTATTCCTCTGTACAGGACTAAATAAGCACAGTTCTTTGGGATGAAATTTAATTGAACCAAACTAAAAAAGTTGGAATTCTTTTTTCCAAGCATGAGAATATTACCTTGCTCTAGCTACTAGGAATGCTTGGTTTTTGGTGTGGTTTTTTTGTTTGTTTGGTTTGGTTTTTTTTGTGTTTGTTTTTTTTTCCTTATTTGCTGCCCTGGAACCCTTGTCCAACAACCCCTGCCTTTGTTTTCAGATGTGGCCAGCCTATTAATGGTCTGTGTTCTGCCCACATCTGTTGCCAGATAGTCTGGAGAAGTCTAGTGCACTGTCAGTATCGGCCTTGAAACGTGAACAGTATGGTCTGCACATCTTTCTCTGGCCTTGAACATGCTGCTCCCACCAGTTAGGACTTTACTTGTAAAGATAAGATGTGAAATTGAGTTCTTGCTTTTGTATTGTCCATATAAGACAGGAGAGCTGAAAGGGACCTTCCCCACTGGTTCACACATCAATAGAAGAGTCTCAGTGTTTCCACCAGTTTGTTGGACACTCCAATCTAGACATTTGAGATTACTTCTGTAACATAAAAACACTGGTACTGAGGAATTTGCTTAGTTTGCAAGTTGTATACCCTCTAATAAGACCCTCTTTCTGTTGAAAGTCTTCAGATTCATTCCTTGACTATGAAAAAGAGGTTGTTTCACATCAGTAAGATGTTTTGTGGGATTAGAACTACTAGTAAAGTAGGAATTATGGCTAATATTTTCAGGATAATTAGAAGAATATAAAAATGATTTTTCCAACAATTCAGATCAAAATGCCTTGAAGTTGGAGGTTCCAAGTCACGAGATTCAAAAGAGAAAAAGGAGGCAGTTTGCGTGTGTAAAGACTGGAAACCCTGCAGAGCCCCTTTACTCTGTCCTGCTTGGTCCTCTATGAATTGACTCAATGACAGTGGGTTTATTGTGACAGTGAATGACAAATATATCAAGCATAAGCCTTTAGTTAAAATTAGACTTGGGAAAGTTTAAAGTTTGTTGTTACTAGGTTTTTTTAATGAAATATTTTAAGTGTTTGTAGCAGAAGTATTATTTTGCTTTCATAGTTAACTTTTTCCAGTCCTAGGAAAAGTCCATCCGTGATTATAAAGCCAGAAACATCGTCTCCACAATTTGGAAAAACATCTTTTCCTACAAAGGAGTCTTTTAGTGCTAACATGTGCCTTCCCTTCCCTGGCCAGACAGAGCCAGGATACAAATCTCTGGTGGGCAGAAAGGGTAAGTCAATATATATTAGTCATCTACTGCAATGTAACATATTAGCCAAATTTGTAGCTTAGAACAACAATAATCATTTATTATCTCCCAGTTTTTGTGGGTCAGCAATCCTAAATGGGCCCTGTGGAGATGACCCATCTCTACTATGGCTGGACTTAACTGCAGGCTTCACTGGAAGTACTGGATGTTTCCAAAGTGAATCACTCATATAGATTCTTGCCATACATAGGCTGCTCCCCAGAGCTACTAGAATATTCACATGACATGAAAGGCTTCTTCTAGAACAAACAAACCCAAAGAGAGGCCCAGCAGAATTTATATATTTGATGGCGTAGCCCTGGAACTCACATCGCATCCCCTCTGCCAAATTCTGTTTGTTAGAAATGAGTTTGCTGCATCTAGACCACGTTCAATGGAAAGAAAATTTCGGACTTTCCCTTTTGAAGAGAACCATATCAAAGAATTTGTGGGCATATTTGAAAACAACCACAGTCAACATCTCTTGCCCATGACTAGACAGACAGCAGGATTCAGGGCCGCATCCTCATTTTGGCCCTGAGTCTGTGCAGCTCAGTCCCAACTGAGAGAATACTACTACTTCCTAGAAAGAGACAATCCAGCAGTTACACTGAGACTGTGCTCTTGCATGTCTGTTTCTTTTATGATTTAGATGCATTGCCTCTCCCTCCCGTTTTTAAATCATCGGCCATTGTGCCTTAAATCATCGGCCTCTGAAGAACTGCAGCCCATTCATGGTTGGCATCTAGTAATTAAAGCAACAGTGTAGGGTAGTGTCCTAAGCAAGAAGAGGAACCAGGAGTTTGGATGTGAGTCCTAGTCGTAACCCTTACTGGATTGTGTGACTTTGGGCAAGTCCTTTAACCTCTGTGCCTCAGTGTCTCCACCTGTGAAGTAAGACTAATGATAATATCTCTGTGAAGAACAAACAAACTGATATGTGTAAAACTCTTAAAACTGTAATGGGGACATAATAAGTACTCACCAGGTAAGTGTTAGCAGTTCTGTTTTTATCTTACTGCCTTGTTTTGGAGTGGAGTATAGGATTCCCACCCCTGACCCCGTGCAAGTTCCTGTTTTACATGAGGAAGACAAAATATGTGAGGGTCCTTCAGCTGTTCTAGTTTTTGACTCAAGATTGAACAAGTAAAATAATTTGCCATTTTAAAAATGCATTGCATTTAAGTGCAACAATGAATGACTGGAAACCCTAAGTCTCTGTAAACTTTCATTAAAATTAATTTTTTTAAAAAATGCATTGCATTTAAGAGCTTCTGAGGTGCCTGTACATTTAGGTCAATTTTTAGTTCACATTTTATCTCGTTTCAGAAAATAAGATCCATAGTCTGGAAGGTGAATCCATAAAACAAGAAGAGGCCCAGAAAATTCTTGTTGACAACTGGATGCAGAGGTCCCATACTGAAGGTACCAGAACCTGTGCTCTGCCTGCCTGGCTCCCTTTGTCCTCTGCAAAGGCTGGCTCCATATAGAATCACCCATGGAACTGTCTGGGGGGTCTGTAATTCAGAGCACTAGACACTCCTGCGGGAGGCCAAGGAGAGTGGTAATGTGTGATAAGTTACAAAGCAGACTTTATCAAATACAGAAGACCAAGAGCAGACGTGTCCCAGAGCCTTCAAAAATCTGAGTGGATTTTTAGCTTAGAAGGTTGTTGGCATCCAAAGAATGCCCCTGCTTTCCTTCTAGAAAAAGCCTCCCCTGTCAGAACCTTCTAGAATCACCTTGTTTTCTGCAGGTTCCATTTTGATAAGCCTGCTTCTGAGGCAGCCTTTGGTCCCAGGGTCTTCCTTAGGCTTGTGTCACCTCCTGAGCAGTGGTTCTGAGGCTCCCACTGGCACTCTTTTGCAGGCACCAGGCTTTGGCAGGTAAGCATTGGACTCCTAACATGTTCATCTGGGAAGCAAGCCCTTCCGTGGCCTTCACCAGCTTTGGGAGGGCTGTGGGCTTAGCTGGGCTGGGAGTCTAGAGAATTAGCAGGAAGGTTGTGTGGCGCCCTTAACCTTCCCGTCATCCCACACTTGTCTTTTTTTTGTGTTGCCAGTACTTTGGCTGGGATTTCAGCCCTCAGGACCACAAGTTTTAGAGAAGGGTCATTTTCTTTGTCTGCCCTGAGAGAAGCACAGAGCCTGGCATTGACTGGACTGCATCTAATTGCCAGGAGTGATGGTTCCTATGACCAAGATCTAGCAAAAAGAGACAGAAGGACCCTTCCACTCTCCCAGCTTTCTGGAGCTGTGCATCTCCTCCCCCTTGTACAGTTCTTCATTGGTTTGCACTGCCAGGCTCTGCAGGACTACGCAGCAGCCAAGAGAAGTGGAGCCCCTGGGGACGCCCCAGCACATGCCCCCTGCATGAACTCTGGGGTAGAAGCCAGCCCTGAGGACTCACTTTGCAACTTGGAAGCTTTCTCCATGGCTTCACTCAGTGTTCTTCAGGACCTCGTGTGCCACAGTGGAGCAGTCGTTTGCCTGTTACTTTCAGGAAGTGGGGCAGACACTGCTTCCAGGGAAATGAACGAGAGCTTGGTTCAGAGACATGGTCACAGAGATGTGAGTGCAGCCCCAAAGGAAATTGCTATTGACCAAGCCCAACATCCACTGCTGAAGATACTGCTTCGTCTGCTGACTTTAACTTCTGTACCAACAAGTCACCTTCGAACTAGCATCCTGAGTCAGTGCCTTACGGTTTTGGTGAAATTAGCAGAAAATGCTTCTTTTGATTTTTTGCCCAGGTATAAAGTAGCATGAGAGTTATGGTCTTTTCTGGATCTTTCCTGACCTCTGAAGGTCTGTCTTGTTACTGTTGAAATATGCTCACATCCTTGACTTATTTACACTGCTTAGTTCAGGAAGTACTGAAATGACAGGAAGTGGGGCCAGGTGTTAGCAGAAGCAAGGAAACGGTTCATTTGGTTTACTTCTGCCTTTGTATAGCAGGTTAGCAGAGGCACACATGATAAAAGGAGACTGTTGGCTATCATGGAATAGTGCCCTGCACCGTAAGACAGACAAAGGCTAAGCCGAAAGGCCTTTAAACCTGGGACGTGTCAGGTGAAGGTCACCCAGCCATAGCCAGGTTTAAATCTGGTGGAGTCCCTAAGGAAGCACAGGGTAAGAGGAGGATTTGCAGCTCGCAGGCAGACTTGCTAGGAGTCCCCATCATCATTGTTATCTGCTGCTGGCATGAGCCATAGGTTGCTTGCTCATCCTAAGTATCGTGGAATTGACAGTGTAAAGATGCCGGCTAGTGAGAACTGTTCTCACATATTCCTAGCCTGGGATTCCAGGGTTCTAAGACTGGTAGAAACTATAAACACATTTAGACCATCTTCTTCATCCAGTCACTCAGTCCCTCCTCAGCACTCCACCAAGGGACCAGGTGGAGAGACTCCACCAGCTGGACGGAATTTTGTCTTGTCTCTGAGTTCAGAGTTACCATTTCCCTAAAATACTTCTGGATCTTCATTCCCAGTGAACCAACCAGCTTATATCTGGGCTGGTCCAACCTGTGGCACTCAGAGCTGGACATAGGACTGAAGTGTAGTGTGAGCGACATAATAGGGGCAAAGCCATTTCCAGGTGCCTGGCAGGGTCCAGCTCATAGCTGGTTATTTGTTTCATATTTGTTAAACAAATAAATTACAGAAATGATAATTTTTACCAGTTCTTTTGGCAGATAAAGCATTTCCTTTCTAGAAAGATTGTCGATTGGACATTAAACGGCCATCGAATGAGTGCACTATAAGCATTTCAAAGCATAAAAGCACTATGAAAAAGGCCTTCCACTCCCAGCTCATATGATACCTTCACCGCCCTGCGTCCTCACACTTAGTACAGAGCCTGGCTTGCTGAAAGCAGTCGTTACTTGTTGAGTGACTAAACCCTGTCTCAGGTAGAGAAGCCTGTCTGAACGTCCACAGAGCATGAGTGTGGGTGAGGGTGACTTTCAGGCCAGCAGTCAGTCTTCTGAGCCATTGCTCTGTCACCGTCTTCCACCAACTCCCACTCTTTCTCTTCAGTGTTCCTTTATGCTTTGCATGCTTAAGCTGAACCCTGCTACGTGTCCCTTCTGGTCAAGAGCTGTGTGAGAGTTGAGGACAGAGGTGCTGTCAAGGCTTAGAAGGAACGTGTGGTGCCATGCAGGTAACCAGGAAGGCTGCAGCAGCATCTGGTCCTCACCTGTTTTCTCAGCGAGCTCCTTGCCCAGCCTGGCTTTAAAGCTCATTGACCCTCCTTCTCCTTGTCTTATTCCTGCTGCAGCTACTGGGGACATAGCAGTACAGGGTTGTCTGGGGGCTGGGTAGGGGAGCGGCCAATAAGACTCTCCTTCCTATGTACCATTTATTTCAAAAGGAGAGTCTGCTGCTATGAAAAAGTAAGTTGGAAACTATTATGTTGTATGGGTTTTGCTTAAAGACAAGAGTCCAAGGCCCTCATGGGCTACTCAGGGGCCACTTCTAGCCTCATGGAATTGGGTAACGAGTTTAAATTTAAGCTTAAGTACAAACATTGGCAGTTCAGTCTGTATCAAGCTGTGCTGCTCACCCAAAGGCTGCATGTCTCCAATGGCTTGGATTCATTAATGATTGTTCAGGAGGAAGATGAGAACTCTGCTCCTGGTTCTACTCTTTTTTTTAAAAAAAAAAAAGTCCTTGCTGTGTAGTCAGAACTGACTCATAGCTGAGTCTCCAGCCAGTTTTCCAAGGCTGTGCGTTGCGCAGGAAGGGACTGCTCATTTTTCTCCCATGAAGCAGTTTGTGGGTTTGAACTGCCTACCTTTGGGTTGGCAGCACAGCTCCTTGGAATCCTGGTGAAGTGTTGCTGTGAGTTGGAACAGACTCGACAGTAGTGAGTGACAGAGTCCATGCCACCTGGTAACTGATGAGTTTGTAGCCTATTGTTTGGGGTTTGTTCTAAAATGAGTTCAATCAAAATAATATGAAACTCTGCTTCCTAGTGAGGCTGAGGAATATTCCTGGTGCTCTGTGCTCAAACACTGCAGACAGTGAGCAAGTGCACTCACCAGAAACCAGACACGAGAACGTTGTAGACTCACCTCTCAGCCCCACCCAGGCTCCTGAATGCTCACCCCCGTTTGATGTGGATTGAGCAGACAACAGTGTTTATGCTGGGACACTGGTCATTAATAAAAGTCCCTTTGCACCCAGGACCTGAGAATTCCTGGAGTCCCTGTCAGGGTACATTGCATGATGGGCATCTTCTCACCTCTGGCCACAGGCATCATGTTTCCCAACAAGTGAGGAAAATGGTCTTTTTGCTGCGAGTAGTCCGTGTCCAGTCCACGTCAGTTCATGGGCACAAAACACTTAGAACATTTCTTTTACCACATTTTCACTCAAGTCCCTCTGTGCAGGCAGGGATGGGAAGAGCCCAGGGATTATATGTGGGTCAGGAATCTTGAGGTCACTGACAAAGAAAGGCCTTGTCAGTGGTCAGCTCCTGCAGGCCTAACCTGACGTTTTATACCCAGTCTTCCTTCACATGAGACGAGTTTCATAGCAAGGGCATAATAGGCCAGCACTTGAATGCAGATGTGTCAGAACAGCTTCATCTTTGTGCTGCGTTACTGTGATTTTGAAGGAGCTCTAGTGACCAATTGTAAGTACTCAGCTGCTGACCAGAAGGTATGTTCAAACCCACCAGCCACACCACAGAGGAATATAGCAGTTTGCTCCAGTAAGGATCACTTTGTAAAACCCACTGCCTCTTCAGTTCTGAAGTTCAGCCTGCCCTTCCGTGGGCTAAGAGGAGAGTGCCTGTCTTTCTCCCATGGAACAGGAGGAGGATTTGAACTTCCAACCTTTACATTAGCAGCCTGATATGTTACCTACTGTGTCACCCAGGACAGTTCTATTCTGTCCTATAAAGTTTATCTGTTGACTCAAACAAAAAAAAATCTGATTGTTATTCTCATCTAAAGAGGGTGAATTCTGGGGTGGAGTGAGTCATGTCCCTCGGGACCTGTTTTGTAGGTTCCAGAATGTGCTCCGGGTGCTACCACAGTGCCTCAGCCCAGAGACGCCCCTGAACAGTGTGCTGCTGACCATCAAGCTTCTCTCCCTCTTGGTGGACGACGAGAGGCTTGCGTCTCAGCTCTGCTGCCACTCAGGTAAGGTAGGACACACGGTGAACTGTGCATCTGGACTGCTGGACGGGAGGGCTGTGGCAAGGACAGGGCCGAGGCTCTCCTGGGGGTAGCTTGCTCCCCTGGCTCTGGGCGAGAAGGGCACCCTGAGTGACGTGGGGCATCCTTTTCAGAGGGCTGCCTGTTCCTGCTGCTGTACATGTCCATCACGTCGAAGCCTGACAAAGCAGCCTCGGAGCGACAGTGGCTCCAACTGGAACAAGAGGTGAAAATTCAGACCTGTCTGAAGACCACTTACCCCACCTCCCGCCATGCCTACCCTCAGTCCTGTAGATCTTTTTCTGTCCCCAGCCTAGGGAGAGGGGAGCTTTGATTCATGGGGAGCTTTGATTCATGTGGTAATGAGGTTATCAAGTCCTGAAGGAGCCTGAGGGCTTCACACCACACAGATGCGTTACAGACAGGCACAGCCCAGGCTTGCGTTGGACTTGGCGAAGGACTGATCCTGCCCTGGTCTGGGTCCTGGTAGCTGAAACTCCCTAGAGGCAGGTGGCTTGCCAATGAGAATAGATGTTGGTTCTGAGTCTGGCCTGAGAAGGCCCCACGACACCACTTCAGAGTCCATCTGTACAGATGAGCAGTTGTGAAAGCAGTCGGGCTCTTAGAAACCAGGATGGCCCCAGCTGTAACGGAGCTCTCATCCTGGGGATGGGACGGCTCGTTCTAGGTGGTGTGGCTCCTGGCGAAGGTCGGTGTGCAGTACCCCTCCTCCCCAGTTATCGCCTCTGACTGCCAGTGCAACGTGGAGGTGAGTGGCCCAGGGCAGGAGCCCACTGGTGTGGCAGCTCTGAGTGGACAATGACCTCATGCTCCCACCACTCAGATCCCCCTCACCTGAGGTGCTGGGCAGCTGAGCAGAGCCAGGAAGCTGACAGATGTGGCTTGCTGGTCCCCTCCCCTCCCCCAGGCAGTGAGAGCCCTCACGGTGATGCTGCACAGACAGTGGCTGACCGTGCGCAGGGCAGAGTGGCCCTCATGGACCGACCAGCAGAAGCACACGGTGCGGTGTCTGCGGGACATTGTGCTGCTGCTGTACGGCCTGTCCCAGAAGGACAAGCTCTTCACGGTGCACTGCGTGGAGGTCCTGCACCAGTATGACCAAGTGATGCCAGCGGTCAGTGCGCTGATCCGGGGACTCCCTGACGTGACACAGTGTGAAGGTGAGCCAGTAATCTGATTTCTTGGCCTGCCTTCAGCCATCCGCCTCCATCGGCCACTGCCTTTCACAGTCTTATTTGTATCGACTGCCTGTCCATTGAGTTGCCATGGCAAAGCCACAGTTTTTGCAAAAACAGCTGTGTGAATTGCCTTTGTGTCACTTTGCTTAAAGTTGTTGAGGGAGCACGGCCTGTGTGTGGATGGGACTGATTGGTTCCTGCAGGTGCTGGGGAGAAGTGGGCCTCCCTCTGTCCCCAGCACCTTCAGGCCTTCACCACAGAACCCTCATCTTTTTGGCTCAGAAGCAGCACTCTATGAGCTCTGTGCTGCCGAGAACGAAGTGGACGACCTCGAGATGGACTGTCCCTGAAGCCTGCGAGCATCCAGCCACGCAGAAGCCCGGCACCACCCTTCTCCTCACTTCATCAACTGATTAAAAGCAGTGGGCCTGCTCCTACCAAGAAAACACCAGCTGTGGTGGTGTTTCCTAGGTTTTCTGTGTTGGTTGATTGGGAGGGATAGTACAGGACCCTAGAGCCAGCTGGGATCCTTTTTCCTATCCCAGACTAGAGCTGAGCCTGTCCCCATGGCAACTATAATCTGCCCTGAGGAAGGAGCCCTGCTCTGTTTGCGACTGCTGAGTCATTGTTCTGGGCTGGAGCCATGGGAATAAACCATCCTGGTCAGAGGACAAGCCCTCACCCCAAGCCTAGACTAGACAGGCCTGGACACGCAGGGGCCCCAGCATTGCCGGAAATAACTTCCCTAGCAGCCTCAGCACCTGGCCTCCAGCTGGTACTCCTTGGGCGAGCACCGAGGTGCATTTGCCAGCAGTGCAGCGTCCACTGTAGCTGTGGCTCCGAGAAAGCCCAGGAGCGCCACAAGGGGGAGGAGGAGAGGGCCTGTGGGGGAGAAAGGCCTAGACCCCGCAGGAAGAGGAGGAGCAGGGCGGGCTCTGTCACGTGGGCCCAAAGGCAGGCCTGACTCACAGATGGGGGGAGCCATGGGCGGGCCTGGGCTGTGTTTCATTTCTCGACACTGCTAGCCAGACAGACACTGCTAGCCAGACAGACGGAGGGTGTGTGCTCTGAGTGACTGCTGTTTCCCGTAAGTACAAAGGAGATGGGGCAGAGCTCGGGGGGGCTTGGAAGGCTGTGGGTCCGCTCCACCAGGTGGGCATGTGGGGAGTAGACTCACATGAGGTAGACCCACACCCCCAAATGGAAACCCAGTTGAGTGTGGTCTCTCTGCTCCTTGGGCTAAACCGACTAATCAACTAATCTAACTCACTAATCTGAGGGACTAATCACTCTACAAGAGTATTGATGCTGCCCACCCTACCCCATGCTCCTCCTCAGGCTCAGCAGCAGGTACTAGCCCCACCATGGACTCGCAGGCCCCACCCCAGGGTCCTGTGCAGACGCTCATCTTCATGGACCTGGAGGCCACAGGGCTGCCTTTCTCCCAGCCCAAGGTCACGGAACTGTGCATGCTGGCCATCCACAGATGTGCCCTGGAGAACCCACCCACCCCCCAGGGGCCACCGCCCACAGTGCCTCCGCTGCCCCGAGTTGTGGACAAGCTCTCTCTGTGCGTGGCTCCCGGGAAGGCCTGCAGCCCTGGGGCCAGCAACATCACTGGCCTGAGCACGGCTGTGCTAGCCGCACATGGGCGCCAGCGCTTTGACGCTGACCTGGCCAACCTGCTCCGAGCCTTCCTGCAGCGGCAGCCACAGCCCTGGTGCCTCGTGGCACACAATGGTGACCGCTATGACTTCCCCCTGCTCCAGGCAGAGTTGGCTGCACTGGGCCTTGCTAGTGTTCTGGATGGTGCCTTCTGCATAGACAGCATCGCCGCCCTGAAGGCCCTGGAGCATGCCAGCAGCTCCTCTGAGCCTGGCTCAAGGAAGAGCTACAGCCTGGGAAACATCTACACACGTCTCTACAGGCAGACCCCGCCAGACTCACACACAGCTGAGGGGGACGTCCTGGCCCTGGTCAGCATCTGCCAGTGGAAGCCACAGGCCCTGCTGCAGTGGGTGGATTCTCATGCCAGGCCCTTCGGCACTGTCAAGCCCATGTACAAGGCTGAAGCTCCCACTGGGCCCAGCCCAAGGTCATCAGCTGCCACAGCCACTGCACCCCTGGTCACAGCCCGAGACACCTGTCCCAACCTTGGGAGTAGAAAGGGGCCCCAGAGTCCTTTTCCCATGAAGAGTCATGGAGCCTCATCCACAGAGGGTCTTCTGGCCCCACTGGGCCTGCTGGCCTTCCTGACCTTGGCAGTAGCCACTTTGTACGGGCTAACCCTGGCCATGCCAGCGCAGTAGGCCCAAGAAGGAAAACCTAATAAAGCTTCCTCAATGCCTCTGAGTTATTATTCCCCTCCAGCCCACACATTGCCTTCTGAGCGTGGGGAACATAAAATGTGGCAAGTTTCTTTCTCCCCAGCAGGAAGTCTCAGCTCAATAAAAGTAGGAAGGAACTTGGTCAAAATCACAGAAGATCCAAGGGTTGGGTGGAAATGGATACACCTAATACCCAATCCCAACAGCCAAGGCTATAAAGAAAGAGAGAGGCGTTTCCAAATGTTTGCATTTATTATAAACAAGGGTACAGGCTCCAGAACACTTCTCAGAAACACAGCAGGAGATACAAAGCTAAGACTTTCTGGTGAAACAGAAGGATGAGGACATGAGGTGCTCCTATCTGGGCCCCACCTCACCTTTGGTCCAGATGGCCCCTTGGCCCAGGTGTGAACTGACGCCCAAGGAGCTGAATGTGCTGTGGTGCTGGTATCAGAGGAGCAGGGACAGGAGGCCAGACTACCCCTCTCTGTTGGCCAGTTTCCCCAAAAACTACCCCCTGGAGTTTCAGCCTCACAGTAACTTACATTTTAAACAGAATACGGGGCACAATATTTGGCTAAAAATAAAAATACTGCAGGGAAGAGACCTGAGTCTGTTGTTGAGCAGATGCCACCCTGCCGACTTATGCACAAGCTGGGGACGGAGGGCAGGAAAGCATCTCCACAAGCAGCAAGGACCATGATTGAACACAGTCTGCCGGGTGTCTCGGACGGTACAGGGATAATCCAGACAGACATTGCTGCTCAGATTGGCCTGGCATAGGTGGGCCATGCCAGCACTGGTCCCACTGGTGGCACAGACTTCAGGGGGCCGTGAAACCCCTGCCTAAAGAATCAGAACCCAACTCGGACAGATTCCAATCTTTCCGACTTCCTGCAGCGTGCGTCGTTGGGATCCGAGAACGGCACCTCACACTCTGGGAAGCTGTGGCCTCAAACAGTGGCTGTCAGACATTGGCCAGAGCTAGGGGGCAGATTGCTGGGCACTGCCAAAATCCTTGCCCAAGAATGCTCTGCTATCCTAGTTTGACAAGCCCCATCCGCCCTCCCCAAGGTGTTCTAGAGAAAACAGGAACTCCCCCCTCCCAACCTGTCCTGTCCTTTGAAGTGTGCAGGAGATTACAGAAAGCATAATTTCAAGTTCAAGTGAGGAAAAGGACAAAGAACGTGGTCCCAGCCTACTTTGGCAAGGGTTGCTCCCCACCTCATCAGCATCAGAGGAAGTCGCATGTACATAAGGGGTGCACACACGCATATGCGATGGGGCAGAAAAGAGATGACAGCATGACCATCCATGTACACACACGATGGGACCCAGAGGTAGGCGCCTGCTCACGGGACTGCCTTTGGGGGATCCATGTAGGCTGGATTATAAGGAGGCTGGCTGGCAGGGTAGGGTGCTGCTGCACCTCCTGAAAACAGAGAAGACACATTTTGTCTGTGAGGAGGAAGGGGTGGAGGGCATGTTCACTGATATACTCAGGATGGGTGCCCAGGAAGTAGCAGAGATGAGAGGGCATAGGCGGAATCACACACGGGGCTGCAGTACTCACCAGCAAATGTCTCATGGTAGGCGGGAGGGCCCATGGGCTGGGCAGGGTAGGGTGGTGGGTACTGCGTCGGGTAGGGAGCAGCTGGCATCCCTGGCTGAGGGGGCACAGCGTGGTAGCCCTGGTATGTCGGTCCAGGATAGCTGGGGGGCACACTTGGAGGCTGAGGGTAAGGGGTGTGCACCACGGTGGTAGAAGTGGTTGTGGTTACAACCGCTGTAAAGAGAATCCTGGTCAGGACCCTGCAGCCCTGAGGGCCAGGCTTGCAGCCCCTCCCTCCAGCTCAGCCAAAGCAGGGCCCTGGTCAGCCTCTCCTGCCCGCCCAGGGGTCAACACTGCACACAGGGACTCAGGGTGGGGTAGGTGGGGGTGGGCATGCTTACGGCGGGGTCGGCGGCACATCTTGTACAAACAGCAGCAGGAACAGGTGAAGCAGATGATGATGGTGACAATGGAGAACACAAAGATGGTCAGACCAATGGCCACGGTCGCCCCAAACCTGGTAAAGGGCCAGTCATGACCAGGGGCACTCCGCCCCTCCCCAGGACCGGCAGTCCACGACTAGTCCATTCCCGGGGCATTGCACTTGCAGGAAGAGACTGAGTAACAGGCATGGTGACATCCATGACAAAACTTACATCTCATTTTCGCTTGTTTCCTCGTGTGTAAAATAAAGGGCAAGGCATGCAGGGACCATGGTCCTGAGGGCAGGCTGCCACTGGAGTGCCTGTGACAGCTGTCGCTCTCTTCAAGTCTGTGCCCAGCACTCTGCTGGGTGTCTACACACACTGCTGGCATAACCAACACGGATCCCCAGCAGGTGAGAACATGCAGCTGCTGAGGTGTTGATATGGAGACACTGAAGAAGCACCTAGCCCCGTGGCCTGAGCTGAGACCCCAGCAAGCACCGAGGCTGCATGGGAGGCCACCCTTTGAGAAAGCTGGGCTGAGCTTTGGACATTCAGAGACACTCACTTGGAAAGGCAGCGTTTCTCACTCCACCCACGCTATACAGTGAGGTCACGTTTCATTCTAATAAAAGTTCCCTGTTGAGGAACTGCCATCAAGCACTGAAGATGCATGCTTTGTCAGCTCACGTACAACCACCTCCTAAGTGGGACACGCTTGCCCAGACCAGGGCCACCCATCAGAGCCTCAGCAGAGCCCGCCCACAGCCTACAGGCCAGACTTCACACTCCAGACTCAAAAGTGTCAAGCCATAGTCTAAATGGGATCCAGTGACTGCTGTGAGGCCAAGGACAGGCCTCAGGGGGCAGAGAGGTGCCTTATTATCCAACCCAGGCAGATTCTCACCTGCTCCCTCGCCCCACAAACTCCAAGACCCTCCTCTATAGACACACACTGAAGGATAGGATACCAGTCTCTCTTTCTCAAATCTCTCTCCCCACAGCCACCTGCCTCCCTCTCTTTCTCTCTCTCTCTCTCTCTCTCTCACACACACACACACACACACACACACACCCAAGCTCACCCAAGCTCACCCCATGTTAACTTCTGCTTTCAACCAGGATCTTCCAGCATTCTTTTCATCATGGGCCACTGATCTCGATCTCTATCTCCTCCCCTTTCAGGAAAAGGAAAATCAACCTTCTAGGGCCTCCTCCAAATCCCTGACGTCATAGCAGAAAGGCTAGACACATGTAGCATGAGCCACCACCCTCTTAAAGGCACAGCAAGCCTCAAGCTCCAACTAGGACCCAGCAATGCCAGAAGCCAAGACTCCAGGAAGGAAGGAGGGGTGTGGGATGTGGAGGCGGGCGGCACTGCTCTCTGGCTACCTTCCCAGAGCTGGCCCAACAGCCTCATCAGGCCAGGACTGGCCTCTGAGTTGCAGCCTGCCAACCCACTGTCCAGGACCACTAGAAGGTCAGAGGGTCAACCTAGCCTAGGTCAGCCTGAGCCACACCTATGTTCCCCCACTGCTCACCTTGCTAGTCCTGTTCCATTAGCCAGCCTGTCACCTCCAATCTTCTCCCACAAACACACTTTTCAGTCACTAACTGATCTTCTCAATTTGATGCTACTGCCTCCCAACATCCCCAGCCCATGAAACTTGAAGTTACCTCCAAGCAGAAGCCTTGGTTACTGGTTAAAAACACATGTGTGTTCCTCTTTCTGTACTTTCTATAAAAACGTCAACAGTTCACAGCAAAATGAAAAGTAGGAAGCTGGGCCTTGCTTCACCATATAGTAAAATTTATAAGGTAAAATGTAGTCTTTAATCAAACAATAAATGAGAGGAAAAAGAAATTCTTCACCAGATCTACAAGGTCTTCAAATCACATCACCTTTCCTTCCAGCTTCTGAAAGTGAGTATTTTGCCCTGCCTCAGGGCCTTTGCACAAGCTTTCACTTGGTTAGCGCTTCTCAGCCCTGTTCCTCCTAACTACTCAGACCACTCATTCTCAGACCACAGCACCAATCACCACTTCCTCTGGGACACCCTCTTGACAACACACATGAAGAATGTGGCTTCCTTACAGAATCAAATTCCTTTCTCCCTCAATGTATAAACAACTTTCTTTGTGTGAGTCTTTGATTAGTGGGCATCTCTCCTCTGGACCATCACTGCAATCTCCAGCCTCTGGCATCAAGGAAGTGCTAAAGAATGGATAAATGAATACACTGACTCAGGGATCCTCTTAGGTAGCACTCAGTAGCCCATCCAAGCACAATGTGCTCAGAACACACCACAGTTGAACAGTGGTCTCAGAGTGTTGCAAGGGCACATGGCCACCAGAGGCCACAGTACGAACAGAACCACCCTCCTAGCGACCAGGGCTGAGGAAGAAAAGGGGCCTCCCAAGGCTGGAGGCATCTGTCACATCAAGCAAACCAGAAGGTGGGGTCAGGCTGAAGAGAGGGGACACTGATCACGGAAGAAGGCAGGGCAAGATTCACTGGCAAGAGTCTGAGCTGGGAGAAACAAGCCAGCTGCAGCCACAGATAAAAGCCAATACACTATCATCCCCGAGGGAGAGCACTGAGGGCCAGGATCCAAGAACCAGGAAAGGGGAGCACAGGGCAGAGCTGAGGCTGGCCTGTGTCCCTGTTCAGGATTCCCAGGGCTGTCACAATAGTTATCTTTACCAAGAAGATGACTCTGTGTGGACAAACAACAGCGTCCATCACTGAGGGGAGCAGTGCATGATGTCCAGCCAAGTGGGCATCTCCTTCGGGCCTGGACATGTGACCATTTGAAGGAGTTCACAGGTGATGTCAATGAAGATCTCAGCCCTCTACCCTCCCAGCACCTCCTAAACATTTATACACAAGTCCTGGGCTGGGCGCTGGGGGATCAGAAAATAGAGGAGGGGAAAGAAGGGGTAGGACGGAAGAAGGGAGTGGTGAGGAGACAGCACTGATCTGGTCATGTCCACTTTCCACTGAGTGGGTTAAATAGCATGATAGTAATCTCAATCCACAAACTCAACACAGACTGTGGCACCATCAGTTGTTCCAACAGCATTGCCCATCATCCCACCCCTCACCACAACCATTTCCCCATCACCATAAGCACCACTGCCCCATCACTTTGTTTCTGCCTCTGTCACCCCATCACATCACCCCTATGGCCCCTGCGACCCCTACCACCACTACCACCACCACCACCATCATTCCTCACATCACCACTGTTAGCCCAACACCCACTGTTCATCATCAATGCCCCATCACCTTTGTCCGTCTATCACCTGCTGCCCATCCTATCACTTAGATCACTATGGATTGCTACCCTGGACACTTCAACTGCAGTCACCACCATCACTGTTACCCCAATACATGGCAGGAGACATATGGAGAAAGCTCCCCAACATAAGGATCAAGGGTCTTAGTGGTCAAACACGGTAACATTCTAAGACCCCATATCAACAACCAACTCTACACCACCCCACACTTGATGCCCTGGTTATCTCTGCCAGAAAGATGTGACCAGCCTCCAGGCATTCTTTACCCTGGCATGGGGTCGTCGTAGTCCATCCTCAGCGACGAACTTAACTGCTGAATATCCTGGAGGAGTTGATCCACACTGCAAAAAGGGAAATTCATGATGAGCACATTCAAGTCCCACCAAGCACATAAGAAAAACAGCAAGCACTCCCTTAACGCACACAGAAAACATGCACAAAAGTAGACCTTCTGCTGGGCCACACAGATGTGGGGACCTGAGAACGGAGACTCGGAGCAACATATCACACCATACTGCCACAAAGTGAAAGAACTAAAAACTGGACAGTGCTCTGCTAACGATCAATACCAAATTAATAATTTAAGCAATTCTACTGAGGAATCCTGACCAAAAGGGGGGGGAAATGTAAAACAAAATTTCAAATTCTCATGGATTCCTGACTTTTTGAAGTCTTCCATGAAGTCTTCTAATAGCTAAAAAAGAATAGCTTAGCTACTAAAGTTAATAAAAACTCTAGCAGTAGTTCGAATCCAACAGGAAGCTCTGTGGGATAAAGATGGGCAATCTCCTCTTATGTGATTGACAGCCTCAGAAACCTGCTGGCAGGTCAGCTATGAGACCATCTCAACTCAGTGGCTGTATGTTTGGGGACTTCTGATGGCACAGAACCTCTAGGGCTGTGCTGCTCACTCACCCAAAAGCCACTTAATGGAAAGTCAGTTTTGAGTCAGTTCTGACTTGACGGTAATGAGAATAAGATTACTATCCCCTGAAGTAATCAAGAATGTCTTCCTTGAGCATTATGGGATCAAACTGACAACAGCAACTCAAAAGATTAGATGAGAAACTTAAGGGCAATGAGTTTATATTAATAGGAATGAGAATGGTCAAACAAGTCAAATTTAATCAGTGTCACTGAACTGTCCATGTGGAAACTACTGTGTCTATTTTGTTGTATATATTCTCAGTTACAATGTCATGGATAGAATTGTATCCTCACAAAAAAAACATATGTATCAGTTTGGCTGAGCCATGCTCCTCAGTGCTTTGACAGGTATGTAACGATGTTATGCAGCAGTTAAATAATGATCCCATATACACCAATCAGTTTCAAGTCCTGTGCTGGGAACCTCAGATACAGCGAAAGACTGATGCCAACAAACACGGCCTCCCTATGGAGTGCTGGGCCTAGAGATGCTAAAAGGAGCTAAGAAAACAGTGAACCAACAAAGAAAGAAAGCCTTCCATCAGAGGCAACACCTTAAATGCAGACTCCCAGCCTCCTAGAGAGAAAACAAATTTATTTGTTAAGCCCACCCACTCGTGTTTCTGCTACAGCAGCACTAGACAGCTAACAAAAATTATTTTTTTCAAAAAAGGAAGTTGTTATGTGCCATCGAGTCTCTTGCGACTCATAGCGACCCTATGTATACCAGCCCTAAACCCTGCTCTAGCCTGTGCCAATCTCACCGTCTCTGACACACCTACTCCCATTACCCCAGTGACTGAATCAATCCATCTCATCGAGGGTCTTCCTCTCCTGCGCTGTCCCTCCACCCTCCCAAGCATGACATCCCTCTCCAAGAATTGGCAGCACATGAAAACACTACATGGAAAAAGAATATTTTGACACACATCTGGACTAGTTTGTAGAGGGAAATTTAGAACATTAAATAATTTTAATACATATCGTTAGTAGGGATGACAGAAGGACAACTGATGCCTTTGAACTATGGTGCTAGAGAAGAGTATTGAAAAATACCACAGATTTCTAGGAGAACAAACAGGTTCAACCTAGAGAGGGTAAAATGAGGCTGCTCCTTGGAGGCAAGGATTCTGAGGCTCCATCTGACATATTTGGGGCATGTTACAAGGAGGGACCAGTCCTTGAAGAGGGACATAATGCTTGAAGAGTGGAGGGACTGTGCAAGAGAGGGAGACCCTTGATGAGCTGGACTGATTCAGTGACTGGGGTAATGGGGGTAAGTATGTCAGAGACAATAAGGTTGGCACAGGATTGAGCAGGGTTAAAGCTACTCTACACAGGGTCACTATCACAAATGACTCGACAGCACATAACAATACAGTTAGATAAACGCATTCGGAAAGAAGGATGCCTAAAAAGAAATGCAATCATGTTAAGCTCAAAAGGATGGAAATAAGTCACAGAACAAACCCAGAAAACAAACAAGAAATATAAGAGAAAACAAGAGTCACACATGCACAAAAACCAGTCACACACACACACACACACAAAACAGTAAGAAAACTCTAGCTGGAAACTATTTTAACAAAACTAATGTTACAGGGGAGCTCTGGTGGCCTAGTGGCAAGGAGCTGCAACTACAATCCCAGAGGCGCACAGTTCGAATCCACCAGATGTTCTGCCGGGGAAGGAGGGACAATCTCCTCCTGTACCAGTCAGATCTGATTTGACAGTACATGCACACAAAAATAATAAAATTTAAAAAAAATTATCCCACATTTGAGGGGAAAAAAAAAACTAATGTTACGAAAAGGAAAATGACTGGGTAGCCTCTGACATGGGGCAAAGGTGGGGCTGTAGTGAGACCAAAGAGCTCAGAAATGTCTTGTTGATTCGTGTTCGTGACAAGCCGCCCTTCCCCACACTCAGATTTATTGTCTCATTGTCACTTATGTATTTCTCACAGAGTAAATTTCTTGCACAGACTCAAAGGGGGGGGGGAGTTTTTATTTAAAAAAAATAAAGGGAACTGATACAAAGTGAAAAAAGGGGAAATGACTATAGGAATAATTTTGTTTGCATTTTTAGTTGAATAAAGTAACCACAGAAGTCAGTTGTGAAGTAAGTGGAGGAAACAGAAAACAGACTAGTATCAAAGTCTAAGGAATTAATTGTGCAAAATATCTTACCGATTTTAACTCACTCCTAACATTCAGACGGAACTGACTCACAGCTGACCTTCCACTGCATTTCCATGGCTGTAAAATTGCATGACAGGAGACTGCCCAAGCTTGCTGGAGAACTAGGGTGAGAGAGATGCCTTAATTGGCAGGACTAAGAGAGATTTCTAACATTGGCCTGAAGCTGGAAGGCTGAAGGGTCTATGAGCATGTTTCAGAAGCTGTCCTGAGAGGCTGACATCTTGATGCCAATGTGAATTGTAACCTGTTAACTTCTCTACTAAACTATGATTGTGAGGATGTTTCAATGTGGTCTGAGTAGCTACTGCAACAGATTTCAGACCCAGCAGAACAGTGGGATTGGTGCTAGAATTAGTAGAAAGAGATGCAGGAGAAGTGGGTGAGGGAGGCTGTGTATATGACCTCTTGGGAATTGGTTTTGTGTTATGGATGCTATTGATGAGGACAGTTCCTCCCTGTGGAGTTAGTGAAGGCCAGATATTGATGTCACCACTCTGCCTTCAGTCTTTTTTTACAATACCCACGTATTCAGTACACTTTGAAAGTACACAAAAAAGGACAAAAAATACAGAAGAAATTGAGGAGCAACAAGGGTGTACAATTTACAAATTCTAAAACAGAAAACAAGACAACCAGACAGAAAAAAAAAATATTTAAAGAGGTCACAGCTGTACAGTTTCTAAAATGAAAGAAAAAACAGTGATTCAACAAGTGGGACTCAAGAAGCCAAAGGGGCATAAACATACAGAAAACTATATTTGGCCCCTTGACAGAAAAAGTGCTGAAAAAGAAACAGAGGAAAAATTTTAAAAAGTAGCCAAGGGAAGACATTACTTTTAAAATCTCTGCTACCACTGAGTCAACTCTGCTCAGAGTAAGTCTCCAGAACACACTAGCTCTGCTCCAGTTTCTAAGGCTGCAAACAACCTCCCTCTTCGTCCTGAATAGCGGCTACCAGGTTTGAATCACCAACCCTGTGGCAGGCCGACCACAGCACTCTCGGAGCCTCCGTTACTTTCAAACAAAAGTAACACTATCATTTGATTTCTCAAGCCAACAAATGAATGAAAGTCTCAAAGTGATAAAAGAGTTAATAAATGCCTAGCTAGAAATCTATAACCGGGGGGGGGGGGGGAATGGTTTTAAAAATAAATTTTATTTACACCAAAATTTAAGACAAAAACAGGAAAGACATTTTCAAAAACAAAAACTGAAACCAGCAGATCTGCATTAAAGATAAATGAAGAAACTGAGATTCAGGAAGTAGTAACAACCAGCAGAGAAGGTAAACATGTTTATAATTTAAAAAAAAAAAAATCAGAACCCAGAACTATTCCCTCTCAAAAATAAAACACTGTTCTTTGGGGTTTAAATAGATTTGCCAGTGATAAAAGGGACAACACATAATTTTAAAAGAATATATAAAATGGGCTTAATAGCATAAAACTTCACAGAGCAAAACTAACAGAACTAAAAGGAAAAATGTTGTATACTGTTATATACTACAGAGTAAAAACTGATCCTTAGCTGACCCTTCAATGGGTTTAATCGCAAGGGAGGAGAATGTTCACCCTTCTCCCGCAGAGAAGCTGGTGGTGGCCTTGAACCAGGTGCCTTCAAGATTACAGTGCAGCTTCTTGCCACTAGGCCACCAGAGTAGTGTGTGCACAGTCTCTCAGTTCAACTGCAACAATGGGTCTGAGCATTGTGGAGCTCATGAGGATGATTCATGGAGGGCAAAGTTTCAATCTGTTGTTCACAGGGTTGCTATGAGTTACACTTGACTCTGTGACATCCGACAACAATAATCTGTCAGCACTTGACAGAACAAGTACTCAATCAAATAACAAGGACAGAGAAGACCTACAACATTATTAACCTGCTTGATCTACTGGACATTTATAAAACACAACACTCAATGTTCCTGGATGCCAAAACAGTTTGCACTTGGCTAGTAACCAAAACATTGATGGTTCAAACCTACCTAGAGGCACTATGAAAGACAGACTGTCTGCTTCTAAAAAGATGAAAACCAAGAATACTCTATGAAGAAGTTCACCTCTGTAACATTAAGTCTCTCCTAAGTCACAAACCAAAACCAAAGACAATAATAATGTTACATTCAACAACTGCAGAATATATATCCTTCCAAGTGCACCCCTCTGCTCCCACCCTTCCCCAGTAATTTTTAATTGCAAGTTTAAAACTTAGCT